AAGGGCAAAGGCAGGTAGGGAAGTCCATGGGGCAGAGGGAGATCAGAATTTGTTTCTTCTGCCTACAGCTGAAACACGTGGACACCACTGGGGAAACACCAGCTAAAACATTGGCCCCTGTCCCAGAGCAGCTGCCATATATGAGGATGTGGGAAACAGGTTTTATGTTAAAAAAATACACATTTCTTTGGGAGTTAATTGCAAGATTCACATGTTATTCTAAACAGAGAAAGCAGAAGGCTTTAGTTTCAAATTTCATGCATAGAGTGGAGTCTTGGGATGGTGACCTGCATGCCTCAGTCTTTCCCAGCTCTGTCCTCACCTGCTCCTGCTAGTGAAGGTCACTGGAGACTTTAGAGAGATGCTTTGTAATGAGCTTCAAGGATATAACCCTAGGAAGCCTTGCCATGATCAGAGACCAGTACTAGGAATATGAGTTCTTTGCATTTGAGGGACTTTTTTTCTACTTGGAATTCTATCAGGAACGACAGATAAAAACAAGCCCACTTTAGAGTTAGGAGAGTCAGAATGAGAAGCTGGGCGACATAGTCCATTTCTATGGCAGACCACCAGCATCATCTACTTCCTTTGCAAACTGATGCACATGCGTAAAGCCCACTCCCTTACTGCATGTAGCATGCCTAAGAGATGGTCAGTATGGCTGAGTAAGAATGTTTCCAAGCACAGGTCTAGGGAGACCCGGATAGCTTAATAAATACAACTTTAACCTGGGAACTAAACAGATAACTAGTAGAGTTGTGACATTACATGCAACAGGTGCATAACACATGTTAAACACTATTACGGTGTTCTTTCCCTACACATGTCTTACAAAGGACCCAAAGGATGGACTGGAGTCTTTAGCTTAAAGCCCTATTTTCAGGAACCTGAGGTCTGTGTTGGAATTGTACAGGAAGCTTCTCATTGCAGCTGTATTGATAGATAGGTTCTTTAACAGCTACAGGGACACTTGGGTTATCTCTACTTCTTAAGGGAGCTTCATTGGTGACTCAAGGGATTTAGAGGCAAAAGTGCTTTTAGGAACCATTTAGCAAAGCGGTTCTCGACTTCCGTACTTGTCAGAATGACCACAGCCCTGCACATTTACTTTGAATATTATAACAAACACTGTAGGAGTAAATATTAGTATTTTCCTTCTCCACAATTCCCAGTGAAATACAGAAACACTGCATGACAAGTCACCCTGCATGTGTAGACAGACAACAATCTTGTTGAGAAAACTGCTTGGTGCAAGCTGTAATTAATGAGGCGCCATCTGTGAGAGGCGAGGCTCCCTGCATAAGCTGCGACTATCCAAGCGAAGTTCTTAGGCTTTTTAGCCAGATGGGAAGAGAGAAAAGGGTGTAAAGCAGAAATGTGGGGTGAATTATCTGATCAGTAACATATGCTATGTGGTTACATTTTATTTTATTATCTGACATATAGATTCATTTTCACACTCTTCCTAGAAGACTTGGTTTAGAATTTATATCTAACTTTGAATTCTTCCACTTGGTTTGGTAGTTTTGCATTTATTAGTCTCTCTCTCTCTCTCTCTCTCTCTCTCTCTCATGTGTGTGTCTCTGTGTGTCTCTCTGTGTGTGTGTGTCCCCTGCTGTGGAGATCAGAAGACAACTTACAAGAGTCATCTTTCTCTTCACCCCACATAGATGCCAAGGATGAAGCTCGGGTCTTCAGGCCCTGCAGCAGAGCCATCTCACTTCTCAACTCCTGCTTGATTTTAAATTGCATCAACAGATCAGCTCATACAAACTGCTTGCTTCCTCCCAGCTCTGAGTTTCCAACCCCTCTGCTTCCCGGTTCTTTCATGGATCACAGAGTGAACTCATGACCAGCCCACTCCGGCTATTCAGTTCCCACAGTCATATCTGAGTGACTGCTAAACATGTCCACCCATTAGCCGGGCCTAGAACACCTCTCTATAACTCCTCCTGCCATATCTCACCCTTCTCCTCTCTTGTCAAAATCCCAGTGACTCTACAAGGCAGAACACTTCATCCAAAGACTTCCCCCATATGGTCTCAATATATCTTCACGTAAGAAATATTTACAGGCAACTATGACTTCCAATAATTCAGTGCCTATAAAAAAAAAACACCATGCTATGTCAGTTAACCTGCAGATCTGAACACTTTTTTAAAAATGTGTATCTATGCCTCTGTGTGTACCATTGGGAGTGTCGGCAAAGGCCAGAAGAGGGTGTTGTGTTGCCTGGAGCTGAGCTATGAGCAGGTGGAAGCTTCTGATGTGGGTACTAGGAACCAAACTCGGGTTCTCAGGAAGGTGCTCTTAACTGCCGAGCCACCTCTCCAGTCTAAATAGCTGAAGAATTTTTAAGCATATCTATTTTAAGGACAATCTGCATATACTAAAGTTGACTTTTGGCAAGGGCACAATTTCCTTGAAAAACTAAAGCAATTTTAATGAGACATAACTGACCTATAATAAAGTGCATGTAAATATATATTTGTAAATTTTATACATACATTCATAAAGTACACAATATGGTAAGATTGATATATGTATGTATATATTGATAAAGCTGTTACCACCATCAAGGCAATAAATATGTCCATCACAAGGTTTTTTCACGTGTCTCCCTGTAGGCAACAGTCATTAGGATGCACTTTCTGGAACTTTACATAAGGGGAGCGCCAGCACATGCTCTCTTTCTTGTTTGGGTTTTGTTTGCTTGCTTGTTTGTTTTTTGCTCAAAGCTTATGTGGTTTGAATGTAATTGGCCCACATAAACTCATAGGGAGTGGCACTATTAGGAGGTGTGGCTTTGTTGGAGTGGGTATGGCCTTGTTGGAGGAAGTGTGTCATTGTGGGACAGGCTTTGAGGTCTCATATATGCTCAAGCCATGCTCAGTTTTTCAGACCACTTCCTGTTACCTGTAGGTCAAAATGTAGAACTCTGAGCTCCTTTTCCAGCACCACAGCTGTCTGCCTGCACACCACCATGTCACACCATGATCATAATGGACTAAACCTCTGAAAATGTCAGCCATCTCAATTAAATGTTTCCCTTTGTAAGAGTTGCCATGGTCATGGTGTCTCTTCACATCAACAGAAACCCTAACTAAGACAATGGAATTCTCTGATATTCACTCACGTTAATGTGCTTCAGCAACAATTCGTTCCTTCTTAAAGCCAAATAGTATTCCACTGTATGGTTGTATCAGTTTATCCACTGACCTGTTAACAGGCATTTGGGTTGTTACCAGTTTGGGGTTATTACAAATAAAGTTGCTATGAACATTCACACCCAAGTCTGTTAAGTGAACATTTTAAAGTTCCAACTGTTTATATGATAACCAGAACTCAGTCTTATCCATTTAAGTTTCAGCTATTCTAATTTAGTTTTTTTTAAAGATTTATTTATTTATTATGTGTACAGCATTCCTTCAATGTGTGCCCGCATTTCCAGAAGGGGGCACCAGGCCACCATGTGGTTGCTGGGAATTGAACTCAGGACCTCTGGAAGCTAATTTAGTTTTTAATTATATTTTCTTCATGACTAATGATATGAGCATCTTTTATTATTTTTTTAAAAAACTATCTTTTCTCTTTTTACGTATGAATCCCAGTTCCCACACCCTCCCCCTCCTCATGCTCCCTCCCCCTTCCCCTACCACCTACACTCTACTCCCCCCACACACCATCTACTCCTCAGAGAGGATAAAACTTCCCTTTGGGAGTCAACAAAGTCTAGCACATTACTTTGAGGCAGGACCAAGGCCCTCCCCACTACTCCCCACTATATCTAGGCTGAGTAAGGCATCCCTCCAAATGGGTTCCAAAAAGCCAGTTCAAGCAGTAGGGATAAATCCTGGTTGAGATGAGAATCTTTTTGTGTGGATATTTGCCACATATAACATGTCATTTCTGGTGAGGTTTCTATTTATTTTATGGTTGAGATAGTGTCATGCTGTGTAGCTCAGGCTAGCCTCAAACTGCCCCTACCTCCTCAGTGTTTACTGGCATGCACCATCATCTCCAGCCTTTTTACATGTTTTGAATTTCATTCTCAATGAAAGTAATTTATAAACTACATACTGCCCTTAAGAATATTTCCTCCTAGTCAATGGTTTATTTTTCTATGCTCAGTAATGCCTTTGGAAGCATGATAGGCTTAAAGGTCCAAGAATTCAAATTTATCAATCTTTTTCTTTTTTTTTTTCTTTTATGATTCTAGAGTTTCAGCTAAGAAATCACTGTGTGGTACAAATTTACACGTTATTTCTTCTAAACATCTATATATACATACACATACATATATACGCATACACACACACACACACATATATATATATATATAGAGAGAGAGAGAGAGAGAGAGAAAGAGAAATGGAGAAAGGGAGGGAGGAAGGGAGGGAGGAACAGAGGGAGGGAGAAAAAGTTTGTCCATAACTCATAACTTGTTTTGAGTTAACTTTTGTCAAGATGTGAGCCGGTGGGCATCTGGGGCACACATTACCTAAATACTAATCATTTCAAGTAAACTTAAAATAACAGTTTGATTGTTGTAATAGGAGCGGCAGGGCTGCGTCCCCAGCACCCCGGCCGCCTGGCTAGCTTATGCCCCGAAATAATTACACGGACACTGTATTCTTTTAAACACTGCTTGGCCCATTTCTATCTAGCCTCTTCTAGCTAATTCTCACATATTGATTTAGCCCATTTCTAATCATCTGTATAGCACCGCTAGGTGCGCTTACCGGGAAGATTCTAGCCTATGTCCATCCTGGGTTGGAGCTTCATCGCGTGTGTCTCTGAGAGGAGCTATATGATTTCTGACCTCACTTCCTCTTCCTCCCAGCATTTTGTTCTGTTTACTCCACCCACCTATGTTCTTACCTATCAGGGCCAAGGCAGTTTATTTAACCAATGACCTTCCTCCATCATTTGATATATAAGATTAATGGGCTTCTAAAACTAATTTGTATCATCAGAGATAAATGAAATAAAAACTCATGCAAAGTGAAAAAAATATTTTTATATATACAAGTTGAGTCAGTTTCAGAGAAACAAATATTTTATGTTTTCTCTAAAGTGTGGCCTCTAGATTTTACTTAGAAATTTAAACTACTAGACGTAAAGATGACATGAAAGTGACTGTGACACTGGGTAGGGACAAAGGGAATAAGGGGGTGAGGAGCATATGGCTGAAGTGCACCCCACATACATGACATAATTGTTTGACAGGGTCTGCATCTAACAATGAATTTTTTAATTGAAGAGCAAAACTAGGAAATACTTAAATCTTTCTTTTAAAATATTACCTTATAAAACAACAAACTTCTTAAGGTAGGTTCTGGTTTACAGTATTTTTGTTTGTTTCAAAACAGGGTTTCTCTGGCTTCCCTGGAACTCACTCTGTAGACCAGGCTGGCCTAGAACTCAGAGATCCGCCTGCCTCTGCCTCCCAAGAGCTGGGATTAAGGGTGTGTGCCACCACCTCCAGGCTTGGTTTACAGTCTTCTATGCTACCTTCTTAGGTCTGCATGACTTTATGGCTACCAATGTGTACATTGCTTTTTCCTGTGCACTGGCCCTTCGTGGAGACGTATTTGGTCCGAGGACTGATCAGATCATAGCAAAGTGCTGCTTTAACTGCTTGATTAAGTGCTGTGTGTCCACGTGCTCTGGAAATGCTGCTTCAGACTTCTGAGCTGCAACATAGCTTCTCTGAAGATCTCCAATCTGTAGGAAATACCAGATCAGGAACAGAATAAGATCTACGTATTGGAAAAATGCCAAGAGTTCTCAAAAGTAAATTATTCAGTTTAGAATTATCTAAATTTTAAATCCATCAGAAATAATGAGGTAAATAAAATTATATAAGTAACATATGCTCCATTATAGTTGTTTAGTTACGAATCAGAAACGCGTGTTTTCTCTCTCTGTTGCTAAGAGCACAGTAAGTATAAAAGGGCATTTGCAAAGACTCAGGCCTGTATAGCTATAATAAATGAAACATCCAACAGAGACATTTGATTAGCATAGTATCTCTTAGGCAGAAAATTTAAATAAAATATATTAACTTAAGATATAAAGGCCAGGCACTGGTAGCACACAGCTTTAATCCCAGGACTCAGGAGACAAAGACAAGAAGATCTCTGTGAGCTCAAGGCCAGCCTCATCTACAGAGCGAGTTCCAGGACAGTCAGGGCTACACAGAGATACCCTGTTCCAAAAAAGATAAGGAAAAAAAAAGACGGGGTGGGGGTAACTGGAGAGATGGCACAGCAGTTAAGAGCACTGGCTGCCCTTCCAGAGGATCTACATGGCACCTACATGGCAGCTCACAACTGTCTGTAACTCAAGTTCTAGGGATCTGGTACCCTCATACCAATGCACATAAAATAAAATTAAATAAATAGTTTTTAAAAGATATAAATTATGTTCTGAGGGGTTCTAAGTGATACTAAACACAATAATGCAGGGCAGATACTGGTTTTTAAGTTTATAAAGGGTATCTCTAATATTCAATGAACTCTGCTTACATCCAGTACCAAAGAAAAATAATCTGCCTTCATTCATGTATGCACTTCTGAAAAGACAGAAAATTTTTAGTATGTGCACAAAAAAATCTAGATGATTCAACTTTGATAGATTTTTAATAACATATATATGTATGTATTTTATATTTAAATGGTTTCCTTTTAAAATCATAACATTGTCAACATTATTATTTTATAATATATCAAAACATTGCCAACATTACTCAGTTTTATAATATTTTTCTGAACTATCTTATAAGAATTAAGAATTCCTTGAGCTAAGAATCATAAAGGTGCACGGATCCTCAGGTGAGCTGGCCTTCCTATAAAAAGTGTCTGTGCCTTTAACTAAGTGGCAGCATGGCACAGTGTAAGACGTTAGGGCATCATAGGAGCTGGGCTTCAGTCTGGAATCTCACGGTGCTAGGTGGCTTTAGGGTGCGTCTTTGTTTTCCTTCAGGTTTATTTTTTATCATTTTTAATTATGGATAGGTGTGAGTGCATGTGGGCATGTGGACGCATGTGCAGGTGCTGCCAAAGCCAGAGATGCAGAATCTCCAGGAGCTGGAGTTGCAGGTGTTTGTGAGCTGCCTGCCGTGGGTGCTGGGAACCAAATTCGGGTCCTTTGAAAGAGCATCAAGTGCTCTTAATCACTGACTCATCCCCAAAGACCCCTGCTGTTTGGGTTTTATTGCCGCTGGATCTTGTTGGTCTAACCTTGAACTAGGGACCCTCCTGCCTTAGCTTCCTGTGCCCAGTGTTTTACAGCCTCCACAGCAGTCCTATGGATGCCTTGTAGTCTCTGTGAGCCTCAGGTTCCAAGAAAATGCAAGCACCAAGAAGCAGTTTTCGTCTGCTTCATTTTTTGCTATGTCTTCTATGCTGACAACAGGGCCTAGAACACAGAGAGGTTCAGCAAAGAAACCTTGATGGGGTTTTGCAGAGAATTCAAGAAGGTAAGTAAAGCAGCTGCAACAGAAGCTTGTATCTAGTAGCTGTTCCCCAAATTGTAATATGAGTGGGAGCTTTTTCTATTTTCAAAACAGACATATGGATAGTTTCGTGATCATGTTATAAAGATACAGTGCTTATGTCTTTAGTAAATAAAACCCTGTACTTATATCACAAACATTTTGAACTGTTTCTTAATCCTCAAGACAGACTTACTTTTCAGGGTAAAAATGCTGAGATGCTTTGGTGCCCTGGCTTGCTTGTCTGTGTTTTATGAAAATAGCTCACTCTTTCTGTTGACTTCTAGATATTAACTGATTGGCAACAGAATATTAACAGCTACCTTCCCCCCGTATTGCTCATAACGAAACAGCATTCACTACCAGTCTTAATTCACAATAATCTTGAGAAAGGTGTGGTGGAAATATGATCTGCAGATAATGGACAGGATTCCTTTGCTGTAAAAGTCTATTATAAATCCTTCTTGGGCCAGGGATTATCTAGCAAGTGTTCTTTAGTGATTAAATGTGGTATTTCAAAATGTAAGAGAGTTCTTCTGCAATTTATAGTGGTGTTTTAGTCAATACCCAGTGATAAAGTTTATTACATAATCTCCTGAAGTGAAGATATTTGTGATAAAAAATTTTAAAAAGTCATTTCTTTCAGATTGAAAATAATCAACCTCTGTTCAGAAAGATAAGGTTTAAAATGTATTCAATCTGTATTTTTTTAAACCAAGAAAGATCAAGAATGTGTCAGATGATAAATTAATAAAGGAAGAAAATACCTTATCAGAGATGGTTGCAAAATTAAAATGTGGTTCATACATATGGGGTGCTAAAGAGGATGCCGTCTGTAAGAGCGCTCTTGCCTGTGGGGAAGAAACGAGGAGAAGGCAGCCATATGAGCGCATGTTAGACTATAGCTATGACTTCTTTAGGTTAAAACAAAACTTACCTGGGACAGGAACTTAAAACAATCCCATGGAAAATAGAAATGACATTCCTCAGGAAGTGCAATGATGTAACAAAATATAGCTTCCTATGGACAGCCTGGCAGAATTATGTTAGTGATCCATACTTCAAAAGAGGAAATAAGACTTGAATAGGGTAGATGTAAGTTATTTGAGAACCACTGCCTCATAAAGTTTGCCTTTCAGTATGATACATAATTTGAAATACGATCTTCTCAAAGCTTAAAAAAAAAAAGGTCTTCTTGATTTAAGCTTTTTTGTTGGAGATCAACTTAGGCGGCTTTAACAGTCTGTTCCCTCATAACAACTTGACATCAATACATTTCACAGTCATTTCAAAGTCCAAAGTTGTGTGTAGGATGAGATGGAGCAAACATTCACGACCCTGCTGATCAGTCTGCTAAGTGAAACAGCAACAGGAAGTGGCAAGCTTTCTCTACAGTACTGTCCTAGTCAGGGCTCCTATTGTTGTGACGAAACACCTGACCGAAAGCGAGCTGGGGAGGAAAGGGCTTATTTGGCTTACACTTCTGCAGTGCAGTCCTCTACTGAAGGAAGCTAGGACAGGAGCTCAAACAGGACAGGAACCTGGAGGCAGGAGCTGATGCAGAGGCCTTGGAGGGGTGTTGCTTACGAGCTTGCTCCTCATGGTTTTCTTATAGAATCCAGGACCACCAGTCCAGGGATGGCACCACCCACCATGGGCTGGGCCTTCCCATATCAACCACTAATTAAGAAAATGCCCTACGGCTTGATTTTTATGGAGGCATTTTGTCAACTGAGGCTCCCTCCTTTCCAAAGCCTCTCCCTTGTGTCAGGTTGGTATGGACTAGCCAACAAACGTACTCAAAGCATGAAACAGGCTACATTTCACACGATCATGTTTTGCACAGACCATGTTTTGCACAACAGATGGTAATGTGTGTACCACAGTTCATACCATGCCACTAAACAACCCCCGCCGCAACCCAAAGAACCTGAGAACAAATTCATGCATCATTTTTTTTTGAAATGGAAAAAAGGACACCAACTTATATAAGACAGTAGATACTAGATTTTACTATAAAATGGGGGATATAAAACTTTTCAACACATCTGAAATCATATGGACACACACACGCCTCACAGTACTGAGGTACACATGCAGGCTGCAGTGGCTTTTTAAGTGGGTGCTGGGGATCTGAACTCAAGTTCTCAAGCTAGTGTGACAAGCATTTTACTGACTGAGCCATGTCCCCGGCCCCTTCAGCAACACTGACTTAGACTTCCCATATGCCAGGTGCTGTTTCTGGTGCTGAGAACACAGAAGTTACATAACAGACGCGGTCCCTGCTTTCAACAGCCAGCAGTCTGCTCTACATACCAACAGCTAGTAAAACAAGAAAAAGGAAACACCACAAGATGTGCGAGGCCCCCAGGGCTTTTCTTAGACCGATGCTGGGTTTTTCCAAGGAGATGACACTTAAGGCTCATGTGACGAAAAGAAACTTGTCACGGCAAGATCTGGAGCACTGCAAAGGCCCAAAGGGAGACAAAGCCCTGTGTGTCTGTAGAGCAGTGGGATTGCTCATGCACCTAAAGCCGGTGAGAAAGGAGCACACAGATATAGTCTCCAAGGTAGGGACCAGAATGTAGGGCCTGCGCAGGCCAGGCCAGGACGCCTGGGCTTTAGTCCAAATGGAAAGAGAAGGAACTGGAGGGTTTTTAAAAAGCACTAATAAAATGATAGTTTTATAACAAAATCCACTAGGTTCCTCAGAGGAGGATGCGCTGCTGCCTTATCCACTCATCATTAAGTCGCTAGGTAGTCTCCCTTGTAGGGGGTGTGGGGGCGGTGGCTTAGTCAGTGTGTGTGTGTGTGTGTGTGTGTGCAGGAAAGAGATGAACATGGGGTAGAGAAGAGGGACCACACAAGCTAGGGGTGACAGGATTGCCAAACAGTGTGGGTGCAGGAGTGGCAGAGAGCGGAAAAAAGAAAAGGGGGCTGCTAGGGCACTGGCAGGAGCAGCCACATCACAGGTGGGAGACAGTGCGTTGCAGGTGGCAAGACCATGGAGGCGTACATTATTCCAATAAATCAGATGTTCAGTTTTGGCTGCAGAGAAGTGAAGTGACAGGCCCAAAGCCACACAGATGGTAATAATGGAGCTGGGATTAAGAACCAGGCCTGTTGGACCCTAGAGCTATTTTAAAAGTGTAACAGATAATGATGGCTAAGTGTCCCAGCTTTCCTCTGAGGAAATGCAGCTCTCTGACCTGTTCAACGTGGCCTTTCCGCATCTCCAGCACGGCCAGGTTGTTGTAGGCCTCCGCATGGTGGTTGTTGTGGACCAGGGCCAGCCGGAAGCACTGATGGGCCAAGTTTGTGTCTCCTATCCCCTGAAAGGAAAAGTGCACATGCACACACGAAGCCACAGGCTCCCCACACCCCCCCCCCCTCATTTTGAATATAAATCTCTCCAGCTACATAGAGAAAACCAGCACCAATCACAGCGGGGAGGTGTGAGTTCTGTGCATGAATTTAACTTGAGGATATAAAATGACGAAAATCTCCAAATTGTCAGCTGGATTTATTATGTCTGAGAATTTCTTCACATGAACATATGGTGACTTTGTCCTTAACAGGAAATGCACACGCATGCACCACATAGACATACACACAACACACACACAAAACATACCACAGCAATGTGCCCCAGGTTGTACCAGACGTCAGCTGCCTCTTCTTCATTTTCCGCCAGGGAAAGGGCACGCTCAAACGAGGTCAGAGTCATATCATACTGCTGGGCATAGAAGCAGCACAGCCCCAGGTTGTTGAAAAGCTGGCAGTTATAAACTCCCATCTGCAAGAGGCGTCTTTGCAAAGAGGAGCACAAAGTTGCTGTTAGACTACCTTTACCAGCGTTGTTAGAAGTCAACTCATTTAATAATTTTAGGACCCCTTGTGAACATTGACACAAGCATATCAACAAATGTTTTAAACAATGCTTATAACTTGTCATAGGGCACGTGTCCAGGGACAAGGTAGGGAAAGTGGTTTGTTTTGTTTTGTTTTCTACCTGCAAAAGCTTTATTAGAAAGAAAGGAGAAGTGGTCACATAAGTTCATACATGTTACTTCAGAGGCCTCAGTACCTGCGAGGAATTCCCTGACACCTGGCCCACCCTGAGGAGTGTGCTCCATGCTTCCCACCAAGCCTTCAGTAGTGCCCTGGATTCTGCCGTGTACTGTGTGGTACAGGTGTGGTACAGGCTCACTCCAGGGAACCTCTGCCACGGAAGGTGTGACTGGAGGTGGGTCTCTGTGTTCCGCACTCAGCTGTCCCAAGACAAGACAGCTGTCTTGTCTCAAGAGCCCCGCTTTGCTTCTATGCATCATTAATCCGACAGCGCTCAAACACACAAACGAAAAGCCAGCCTAGCCGCTTGAGAAGCCCGTGACCCACTTAAGGGGTGGAGAGGATGGCCAGCTGCACAAGTGCGGGGCGGCATCTGTTTATTTTATGCTTCCAGCATGTGTTTGGAAAAGCTTGTCAGCTGCCGGTCCATCCCTGTATATTACAAGGGCTGAAACCACCAGGTGAAAGTGAATTTTAGGGGCCAGTGGTATGGCTTGGTTGGTAAAGGCACCTGTGTCCAAGCCTGACAACCTGAGTTTGATCCCAGGGACTGGGGTAGTAGAAGGAGAGCCCCGGAAGGAAGGAAGGAAGGAAGGAAGGAAGGAAGGAAGGAAGGAAGGAAGGAAGGAAGGAAGGAAGGAAGGAAGGAAGGAAGGAAGGAAGGGAGCTAGTCTTCACAAGCAGGCCATGCAGTATGCACCCCTCCCTGACATGCACAGATAAACAGTGAACGCAATGTTTGTTCAAAAAGTGTAGCTTAGAAGCCACATGAGGGACAAAATAAGTATGTGCTCAAAACAGAACCAGACTATAATATACTTAGGAAAAGCTGAAAATGTCTCACAGAACAGGTGACCCTGTCTTAAGTCCTTGTTAAGGCTCAGAACACAGGGCACCTGCAAACCTTCCTGCTCCAGGCTCCCTGCCTTTAGGTTTGTGGTATTAAGGGGTAGTGGCAGCAAAAACTATTTCAAGAAGCTCTTTAGCCTCTGTTGTTTCTTTACAACTAGCATGAACTCACAAGGAGCTAAAATGAAAACTTGGCCACACAGGTTTGTTTTTCCAGGATGCCAGCCTGCACACCTGCAAAGTACCAAGTACCACTTTAACCCTCAGGAAGCAGCCAAGAGACGCAGTTCTTAGATTTATACACATGTGGCCTTTCTAGCATTTCTCTACATTTTCATTCCATCCCTGTACTGTCTCACCGACTTTGGCTGCAGGCACAATGTAACGCCCACCTGTAAAAGCGGAGCGCAATCTCTGGCTGGTCAGAATAAAAGTGGTTGCTTCCGATGCAGGCAATGGCTTCCACGTGAGTATTGTCTTGTTTCAGAACTTCTTTGTAGTACTCCGCCGCAGAGGAACTATTGTTCATTTCCTAGTCCCCATCCAGACAGAAGAGCAACGTTTTATTAACACTGGACAAGAAGCTGCTTTTTTTTTTCTGACTAAGTTCGTTCATTCAACAGTATTTATTTTGAGCCTGCCATATGTCAGAATCTGTTCTAGACAGTAGGGACGAAATACGAACAAAAACATGAAGTCATCGTCCCCAAGGAGATGGCAGCTGGTGGGGAAGACAAACAAGTGAGTCATGTAATGTCAGGGAAGGAAACGGGGCAGGGTGAGCGGAGAGCGAGAGGCAGGCAGGGGCTGCTTGCTCTCAGTCACCTTGGAAGAAGCCCTGTCTAACAGAGCTATAAACGAAGAGAGGTGTTGGAGCTAGCATTTGGGGGTTGGGGGACAGTCTCATTTGACAGAGAGACCAAAGCACATAGTCCTAAAATGAAAACACTTAGAAGAAACATTTTCAAGCCTGGAGAAGGGGCAGCCAGAACATGTTGAGACCATGTGGAGAGCCTCAGACTTCATACTAAGTTGAGAGGCCATCAGGGGATTAGAAACAGCGGCATGCCCCAAACATGCTGCCTCGGTGGCTGACTACAGGCTCTACCAAACAGGAAGAGAAGGCCAAAGAAAGACCAGATCTAGGAATGAAACGAAAGCCACTCAGACCTAGTTTAGAAATACATACATAGGTTTTAAAAAAAAAAAGGAGCCTTCTGCAGTTGCTGTATTCATTTGTAAAACACTAGTAATCACAAATATTATCTCTAATTGTTCCGACCTACAAAAAAAATCAAGTCTGCAGAAAGAAGTGGGCACAAAATGACCTTTATTAGGGGAGAAAGCATTTTGATGAGGGATAGGCCCCAAAGTAGGGAAGCATCAGGAGAGACTTCATCAAGGGAGAACTTCAATTCCCAAAATGGAGCTTCATCAGGTGAGATGCCCACCATGCTCAGCCTGAGGGTCCTGAAGGAGAAGGACCTTCAAGGACCAGGGTGGTCGCTGCCTCTTGCAGGTTCTTGGGATGAGGTGGGGCAAGCTCCATACCAGGCTCTAACCTGGCCTGGCCTACCTTCCAGGGGTCACAGAAAGGGAGGCGCTAGGTAAAACTACACAATTCAAGGCTGTCCTAAGTCCAAGGACTGGGGCTGGGTTTGTTCATAGCTCTAAGTGAAAGGGAGGGAACTGAATTCATTCTAAGTGCTGGAAAAATCACAGCACATTTTGTTAGCTCTGTTTCAGCCAAGAGGGGTGTGGCCTGAGTTCCAGGATGGGGCAGTTAGCAGGTCTATGACATAATACTAGTTTTATTAAATTTGAGGCATATTCTCCGCATGTTGTCCAGTCTGGACTTGAGCCCGAGCTTAAGCTATCCTCTTCCCTTAGCTACCTTAGTAGGTGGACTGCAGGTAGATGTGACTCAACAGATACTATTAATAAAGGTATCACCTCTTACATCTACCTCAAGGACCAGTCCATCCCCACAAAGCTTTTTTTTATGTCCAACTTCACACAGATCTCTTCTGCCTCTCAAGCTACATGACACCCACTATCACCCTCACACTTGGTCTTACCACAGGAGGACTCTTATTAATGTTAGATTTGAACCATTTTTTAAATCAAATCCAAAAGACCCTGCCAACTGCAAGAAGCACCACACACTGCTTCTTTAAACACAGAACTAGTATTTGGTACAAGACTCACATGACCAGGCTTGTACCCCAGACCACATTGCATCTTTATACACAGAAAGAAGTATGTAAAGTAAGTTCTTTCACATACAGTCAAATTCTTCTAAGTCCCCGTTTCACTTGGTCATCTGTGTACTGTCTGTGTATTCGGTGCTTTGCTCTTTAAATTTTCTTAATAACTTTATATGTCTGTGGGATACAATGAGCAGCCTTGACAGGCACATAGTATAGAATGAATGTATCTAGCTATTACCCACGTCTGTAGCCTCACCTACTTCTCATCTTTGAGATGAAGAGGGTTAAGATCCACTACAATGCTCCATACAGTGCTCCCCACCACTGCTCAGGATTCCTGTGCAAGCTCCTGCTTTGGGAGGCTGATGCCTGTGCTTTCTGGATTTAACCAGCAGGTGTCAACAAAAGCTTTCAGGCAACAATCAGAAGTAATTACCATCTTCACCATGTTGGCTAATTGGAATAATCGCCAGGTTTTCACAGGGGCTGCAGATGAGGAAAACTACACAACAGCTGTTACTTGGCTACAAGGAGCAAAAGAAAAATGTGGTATATATAAACACATTGGAATACTATTCAGCCATTAAGAAGACAGAATTATGTCATTTGCAGGAAAATCGATAAAACTGGAGATCATCAATGTTAAGGAGAAAAGGCCAGGCTCAGAAAGATAAGTATATTTTCTCTCAAGAAAAAAACAAACAAACAAACAAAAAAAAAAACGGACTTGAAACAGAAAAGCAGAGAGATGACCAGGGGCAGGAGGAGGGCGGACACAAGACAGCAAGGAGGTGGTAAATAAGATCAGAGTACATGAACCCCATTACTTTGTACAACTACAACATGGTAATGCAAGGAAAGATGCCTCATATTGTTTGATGCACCCCGATGTCAGAGATGTTCAAATATGGAAAAGGGGTCTTGTGAGTCTATATGCATATGTGCATGCATGTGTTTTACTATGCGAATAGTTGGGTGTGTACATGTATGGGCATGCATGTGGAGGCCATGTGTCAACCTTGGCTGTCACTCTTCAACTACCAGCCACTTTGAATTTTGTGACAGGGCAACTCATTGGCCTGCAATCCCAGTTGGGTTAGGCTGCAGGTGCTTGAAGACCAAGTGCACTGATGCATGGTTCTCTCTCAGTGAAGTGGCCAACGACCAGCCAGAGCACTTTTTCTTTCTTGTGTGTGACATTATTTGTGCACAAATTTGTCTGTGCATGTGTGCACATGTGGAGGCTGGATGCCAATGCTGGGTGACTTTCCCTATTGCTCACCCTATTTTCTCTTAAGAACGGGTTTCTCACTTTCCACTAGAGCGCATTAGCTGGACTGGCTGGCCATTGGGTTCCAGGAATCTTCCTGTCACAACCTCCCCAGTGCTGGGGTTACTCGTGCACACCACCACATCTGGCCTTTTTTTTTTCTGTGGGTTCTGAGGACTGACCTTGAGGCAGGCAAGCAAATTCTTAACTGAGTTATCACACCAGCCCATTGTGTGTTTGTATTTCCTGACCAAAACATGTCACATTCTCATAAACTACCCAGTTCCTTTTCAGCGAACCTTGGTTTCTTTACATCTTTTAATCAAAAGAACAAGATATAAAACATCTCTGCATAGCTGCACACTCTACTAGAGGGAAATTCCCAAAGTAAAAGTGCCCCCAAAGAACCTGATTTGACCTCTCCTTGGTGACTATAAAAGCTTCCGGGTGGCTGCATCAACCACATATCAGCCGTCAACAGTGCTCACACGTGGAATTTGTTTCTTCACACCCTTGAGAGCCTAGGTTCTGTGGAACTTTTTCACCTCTGCCAGTCCAATCAACTGGGAAGTGGCCTATGGTTGGTTTAGCTTTTAACTCTTTAATTCTGACAGAGATGGGGCACTTAACATATGAGACATCACACTTGCTTTTTCTGTGAGTTGCCAATGTGTGTCCCGTGTCTATTTTCTTAGCTAGCCTGCCTTTGGCCCTCTATCACTGGCAGTCCGTGCTGCTGTTGCAGAACAGCACAGGGAGAATAATCTATAGTGAACAGAAAGGTGTTCAGCTATGATTCGGAGGCTGCTGAGCCCAAGATCCAGGGCATCTGGCGCGGCCACCACACCTACCGGACTCTCACCTGCCATCTACCTCAGGCACAGCAGGCATTTTCCTGGATGATATCCTAACCTTTTAAGTTTGATTTTATTTAATTTTTTTCTACATAGGATTATTTTTTGAGCTCATAGGGTTCCGCCTGCCTCTCCCTCTCCAGTGCTGGGATTAAAGGCGTGCACCACTGTGCTAGGCTTTGGTATATAGGACATCTATGTAGGGAATGAAAGTTCTCACACATCAGTCTTTCCTGTTATGCCTTTATTACTTGGCTTTGGATAAAAAGCTTTTCCTCAGGTAGAAGTGACAGATGCTCAGTGGTTAAGAGCACTGGACGCTTTTCCAGAGGCCCTGAGTTTCACTCCCAGCACCCACATGATGGCTCACAAAAGGATCTAAAGCCCTCTTCTGGCCACAGGCACCAAACATGCGCTGCGGTGCACAGGCTTACATCCAGGTAAAACCACCATACACACACAAAAAAAAATAACTGAATAAATAAAAAAGATTTTCCTTATTCTAATTTATACAAATAATCTGCTTATGGTTTTGTTTTGTTTTTTAAATGTTCATGGTTTCTTTGCTGGATGGTTTTAACTCTCAACTTGATATAACCAAGAATCACCCAGGAGGAGTGTCTTAATGAAGACTTATCTAGATCAGGTTAGCCTATGGGGGCTGTGTTGACTATTAGACCAGGTTAGCCTGTGTGGTGTCTGTGGGGGCTGTGTTGACTATTGCTGTAGGGAAGAACCAACACATCATGGGGCTCACCACTCCCTAGGCATGGTGTTCTAAACAGTATGAAAAGAGAAAGCCTATTGAGAGCGAGCTAGGTGTGCTTATTCTCTCTTTGCTCTTAACTAGAGGTGACATGTGACTAGCTGCTTGAGTTTTTGCCTCGACTTCCCCCTCGGTGATGGGTTTTAATGTAAAATTGTAAGCTGAATAAACCATTTATTCCCTAAGTTATTTTCATCAGGATATTTAACAGAATAGTTTCATGTTTTGAAGTTTTAACTCTTTGTTAAAAGTTTAAATCTGAGAGCTAGGGACATGGTTCAGTCAGTAAAGTTCTTGTCTCAGAAACACTGAGGACCTGAGTTCAAGGCCCAGAAACCACATTAAAAAGCCAGCTGTGGTGACTCGTGTGTGATTTCAGTGCTGGCAAGGGGAGTCCTGGGGCCTGTGGGCCAGCCAGGCAGCAACTAACCAGGCTACACTAATTGATGAGCCCCAGTTTCAGAAACAAGTGAGATGGCTCCTACGGCCTCACACCAAGGTGACCTCTGGCCTCATAGTACACATACATGTATACACATACACACAGCTTAAATCTGGCTGAAACCATTGTTTTAATACATGAAACATCTGTTCATTTGCTCTAACTTTAAAGTATTTAATTAATATCCAGTAACTCAATCTTTGTCACATCCTAAATTTTCACGTGGAGTCTCTTTTGGTCCTTAAACTTATTCCTGCATCAGAACTGGGTAAATCATAATAGTTCGAGAATAGATCTTAACAGCATATACTTAAAATAACATTTCCTTGTATGTAAATATTGCCTCAAGTGTGCAATAAACTTGGTATTAGTTTAAGTGATTTTTAAAGTGGTTATTTCTGAGCCAATTCATGAAATATGAACTATACTTACAGCTGAATTATTTGAAGTAAAATTGCAAATAGCTCAAGGATGTGAATTCTACAGTGGTTTTGCTCAGAATAGCAAAGGAGCGCATTCAAAATACAAAGGCCTTCGACAGAGATTGATGGGCCATACTTCTTACACATGCCTGAGGCAATTTCCACACACAATAAAGTTGAAAGGCCACTGGAATAACATTTCCAGGATTAGGTTTCTAATTTCAGACATTTTTTTGGCAAAGAATAGTTAAAATGAGGACCTTTCTACCAAAATGCCTCAAAAAAACTTCAAAAGCGTCAAAAATTTAATAAAGATGCATATCTTAAGAAAGCATCTGTAAGAAATGCAAGGAAGCAGAGGTTATACATGCTCACTGTAAAGCAGGAAACACAGACCGTGACAGAATGGACGCAGCGGTAAGGAAAGAACACACCAGGGGAAACCCTAGAAGAAAGCAAAGTCCTCAGAGGCAAATGCGGTGTGGCTGCAAACTAAGGACTTAGCTAATTATCCTCCAAACCACCGTCACACAAAGAGCAAAGGAATCCTCCAGAAACCTGGCTCTGGCGTGGGAAGCTTTGGCAGAAAGGAAATTAACTGCTAGGGCGGTGGAGGATGGGGGGCTCTACAGCGTCCTTGCAGGTAGGCCACTCTCCTCTCTACTCCTCTTCCTGCTGCTGCCAACTCCACTCACAAGAGAAGGGGAAGGTAGCCAATAAAAGACTTATCTATAGGACCACTGGGTGTTGTGGTGCACAAGGGCAACCCCAGCACTCCAGAGATGGGGGCAGGAGGATGGCGAGTTGGAGGCCAGGGAATCTGTTCAGAGCCTTGGCCTGTCCCAGCCTTAGCAACAGTGACTGCATCAGACAGGCATAGATGGAGTTCTTCTGAAAAGCAGTCATAATTAAAGATGCTGACAGCTAAATCTTCTATCAAAAGGAAGGACAAAGGGTCTGAGAAATGGCTAATATCAAACTGCCTTTTAAAAATAATGCATTTCTATCCACCATCATCAAACAGAAATTACAACATTTCATTCATAGTAATACATCCATTCATAGTAGTACATCCATTCATGTTACACCTAGGAATACACGTGTGCATGGAAGAGTTAACAGAAGACCTGAGGTTGCTATTCTTAGGAAGGTATGCACTGGGGAACTCAGCTGATTCCTGCTCTCATGCAAACTTTCCCCAGATGACAGGAGCCTTGCTAATGCGACACTATTGGTACCGTGTGGTTTGTGCTATTACATGCTAGCTCTGGTACATGATAGGCACCTGGTGTCCACACACAGTCTCTAAGGAGACTCCTGGCAGACAACACTCTGTAGGAGTTGTCACAACTTGTTGCTGGAAGAATTATGTGTGCTTTTTGTGACTCCATGTTGTGACTACCCTGCAGAGACGCACATTAAAAGGGTGTTCTTCTGAACAGAGCTGAAACATTCCATCCTGCAGGGACGCTATTAAGCTCAAAAAGTGAACAACTCAAATGCCTCAGGAAGTCCCCGAAACTGACCAGATGCACTGGGTTCCCCTTTCCCCAAGCATATATCCACTGTCAAGAGAAGCACTTTCAGAAAAGCTGAGCTGCCTAGGAGAAGCTCAGACAAGATGAACCAGCCAACTCCCCTGGGGGAAGCAGGCACCAACCAGTTCAGCTGCCTAAGAGAAGCAAAGATCAGCAGACCTACATGGAAAAGCACAGACCACTTGCACTGCCTGAAACAGATAAGTCTCCAACCTGTGAGCTGGCAGCATGCTCCGGGTTTCCAGCTTTTGTGAGTTGTCACCCAGGCTGGGATGGGCTTTGGTGATGAGTTATTTCTGTTCCTGTAAGTAGCCAACCCTTCATATATACTCCTGTAAGTAACACCCCCTGTCCCAAAATCACTGGTACCCTGATGTGGACTTCAGTGGTGTCTGCACTTTTGTCTGTCACCGGTTCCCTAGGTGGGATAAGTAGATGTTAGTAGTGTCAATTAACACTGCACTAGCCGAGATCTTTTGGAAGCTTATCCCTTGCTTCCTCTGAACTTTGCCCGCAAGCCTTTTCCCTTTACTTTTGAATTTGTTTTGTGTCTTTTTCCACTAACACAATGTTCCTTGCTGGCTGTTTTATGCTGTGTTTTGGGAGTATTAACGAAAGGACTGAATTTTAGCGTGGCTTGGTGACTCCCCCGACAACCTTTCTGGGAATGATCACAAAACATTCACTGGAGGACAAAAATGAATGAAGCAACTACAGAGTTATGTCATACTTGAGTATGGAAAGAAAGGCAGCCTACTCACTCACCCTGTCAGTCTACGTCATTATGCCTGCAAGGCTAAAAAGAAACATATCTTTCAAGGCACCAGTCTTAAAATCAGTATGGAAGATCAGAGAGATAAATTTTCAATTGTAAAAGAGAAAAACCAGGGGGTAGGATTACCTAATCTAGCCTCGGGATTATTGTAATGCTATAATAATTAGCAGGAAAGAGAAGTTAATGAAACTTTTCTGCTGAATCTGAGAACATGAATCTAAAACTGTATAAGAATAAGAGTCCAAACTGTGAAGGCAAACCTACCAGCTACCATTAGAAAACTACAGAAATGTAGCTAGAATGAGCTTGGTAAAACGCTGGGCAAACAGACCAATGAAACAGATAGAAGGCTCAGGCATGTCTACCAGGAATGAGGAAAGCAAGCAAACAAACAAAACCCCCACATAGTTGGTGTTACAGATCTTGGGAAAGGATTAAGTGTGCTGAGATAACAGGCTACCCATGCAGGAAAAATAAGTTAAATTCCTGCCTTGTATCATTGACCTCTGGGTGTTTAAAATACTTCATTATAAAAATCTAGCCGAATTAAACACACGCAGCAAAATCTCTCCTTATACTGCTGAATCACAGCCAACGATCTTAATTTTATAAACTGCTCCCTACTAGGACCCTAAGGGCCCTATGAGCTTTTTAAAGTAGCACACAACCTCAATTTTACACCAGCCTTAAAAATAACGTGAACCTTACCTCATAGATCCTGGCAATTCCACAAAGCAGGGTCACCTCGCCTGGAAATTTATCTAAGCCTTGTTTGAATAGATTTAAAGCAGTCACGGGTTGATCCAATATGATATAAACCTAAAAGCAAGATATATTTCAATAAGATTACTTTACTGGTTTTTAAAATAATAACATTTATATAACAAGTTTTAATTATTGGTTAAAAACAAATTTTCTCCCAGAAATTAATGAATTTTCATAGACATAATTAGATTCTATAATGACTTTACAGTATATCTGCATATTGTACATAAAATTCATCACCCCAAGAAATGTTTACTGTGGGGATATTCTTGTCACAAAGACTCAGTAATACATAAACGAGAAAGGGCCAGGGGAGCATCTTCCTGCTGCCCACACCAACCCTCCACTCCCTATGAGTCTTTCTCTGATAGTCACATCTGTTTGGTTTGTCTCTTGACTCACTAATTTCAACCAGGGTAACGTGCATGACTATGGGTTTCAAGCTACCCACGGGAGCCTGGAGGGCTCACCGGTGGATACACAACGGAAGACAATGACTGTCCTTCACCTAGGAAATACCGGTAGCCTAAAGTTCAGCGGGATGGAATGTGGTCTTACAAGTCCTTTGTTCAGCTGTGACTGACTGATTCTAGGCTTAGGCTCACGCAAGCAATTCTAACTGCTATGAGATCATGATGGCAACGTCTGTGTTTCGTCTAGAAGACAGCAGTTCACAGCCCTTTCCCCACCTTTCCTGCTCTTTTCCTGCGCACAGCACACTTCTTAACTTGGAAACTTTTCTACAGATGGACCACAATAATGTAATACCTACCACTTCTTCAAGTGTTTTCATTCAAAGAGGCCTTGATGAGGCTCAGGCGATGACTTTATCCCAATATAAGTAGAGCTTCCCTTCTCGGAAATGTTTTACCACAGAAGTATTCCCAATTTCTGATTTTGGGGTATTCTGGGGGTATTGCGGAACACAAGTCTAAACGTGAAATTCATTGATTTTTTTTAAAAAATGTTTTCATTTTTACTTTGTATATGGGTGTTTTGTCTGCATGTATGTTTGTGCACCATTTGTGTGCCTAGAACCCTTGGAGGCCAGAAGAGGGTGTCAGATCTCTTGGAACTGGAGTTCAGATGGTTGTGAGCCATGATGTGGGTGCTGGGAATCGAGCTGGATCCTCTGGAAGAGCAACAAATGCTTTAACTGCTGAGCCATCTCCAGCCGTTTCACTGGTATTTTTCCATGTACATGTAAGGCAGTTTTACACAATAATTTTATAGCACCAGTGTTTCCACTTGTGGCAATCATATGGTGGCATTCAGTACATTTCAGATTTGGGAGCACTCCAGATTAGGAATGTTCAATCTGCACTGAAAATTCTAGGTGGCCCATGTACTGGAGTTACAGTCACATCATACAGCACAGTGGACTTGAGCTTGCTGCTCTCAGCTCAGTGATGCTGAAAATTTGACCTCCTGCAGTCTCATTTTCCTTAGCAGCACAAAGCAAGGTATAAAACCTACCCTGTAGGGTTACTTTATGGATTAAATTAACCTGTCTTTGCTAAAAAGCCTGCTACAATATCCTATACTGAATCGTGCTCAGAGCTGAGTAACTTATGTCCTATAAAGCAATCTACGAAACGGTCCCTGTTCTTAGAGCAGGGTTTGCTAGCATAGGCCTGGGATCTCAGCTACCCAAGAAGCTGAGGCAGGAGGATGGTGAGTTCAAAGTCTATCTGGACTATACAGTGAAATCTTGTTTTGAAAACAAAGGGGCTTGTTTTATACAACCTGATCAAATTTGCGACAAAATAGACTGCAGAAAATGCCTTTTTGTTACCTACAAGGTGGTGAGTCTGTGGTGTTTCCTTCTGTCCTAAAAAACAATCTGTCAAAGGGATTTTCTTTTTTTTTTCCACAGCCATCAACTCCTTGTGCTGTGGGTACCCTCCATATGCTATTTTTTGCTTGCTATAAAAAATAAGTCTGAACATATTAACTTGCCAAATATTCCAGAAGGAACTGGCAGCTTTACCCCATTCAGTGGCCAGCATCCTAAGTAGACAGTTTTCACTCAAGTTAAGAATATTTACTTACTTTTGCCAGATAGAGAAATGTGTCTACCATTTCCTGCTGCTTCAGGGCTGACTTAAACTGCTTCTCTGCTTCACGGTACATTCCTAACCTAGAAACAGCCATTTAAAAAATCAGACATGCCATTGGAAAATCAGCGCTACATCATTGTTTTTCAAACCTTGAGGATATGAACAGACACATCTCACCCTAGAGCAAGCATATACCAAAGTAGGTGATGCTGGGCACACAGAAAGTAACAGGTATGCTAACAAAAGCTAGCAAGAAGCCACCTGTCTCCCAGAGTCATGAGACAGCTAAGCCTCGGATGGTGTAAAGACTACAAGCGTGATGCAGCAGGACCACAAGCTGTCTCTAACGGGGTCACATCAGGTCACCACTGCGAGAGCTTATGATCAGCTGCACATATGGCAAGTGACCTGGATAACTGTGGAGCTGCCACTTCGCTGAAGAGCTAAAGGACAGTGCTTCTTTGAAAACATCTCCTTCCCTAAGACAAGCCCCGCCCCCTTTAGTTATCCTATACTATCTTAATGAAAGCAACAATCGCCAGTTGCATCCCACAGCTATAGCATCGCTTTTCTACAGATCTTGTTTTCCTCTGCTCATGAATCTGAAACTTGATCCTTGCCTAAGTGACTATTTTGATGTCAATGTCCACCCCTGTGGCCCAGGAAGCACGGGTCCTACCAGGACGTTCACCAAAGCACACAGACTTTGATTCAGCTTGTCCCGAGTAGACCTGTTCTGCTTTCTGTTAACTATTCACTCCTAGCAATCTATGAGCTACTTAGATGTACTTTTTCTGTAAAATAAACTGAGAATTATTTACAATATGATCCATGGGGCTAATCTCACATGCAGCTGGAAAGAATAGCTTTGGTCATTTTTCCATGATCTAGACTTCAAGCATTGGTGTAGCTGATATACTAGCAGTGGCTGGAAGATGGGATTAAAGTGATGTAAGGTGACTTCAACAGATTAGTGTAAAGTTAGAGGCCATGTGAGGAGGCAGAGGTCCCTTCCTCTTCACAGACTATGTATAAAATATTATCAAAGAACCCAAAGTTATGAGAAATAGAAATAATAAACAATAAAATGAATTTGTCACATGAATGATTGAACAAAAGAACAGAGTACAGCATATTCAAAGATATCTAAGGAATGGGGAAATTGCTCAGTTGATAAAGTACTTGAAATAGAGCATGGGGACCAGAGTTCAATCCCCCAAACTATATACGATCTAGTGACATGCACATGTAATTCCAATGCTGGGGAGGCAGAGACAAACGGGGAGATCACTGGACCTTATTGAACAGTCAGCCTAGCCCAACTGGCCAACCTCAGACCAAGAGAACATGTGAGAAAAAGGTGTAAGGCACCTAAGGAACGACACCTGAAGAGGACCTCTGGCTTCCACATATGCACACATGCTCTCTCTCTCTCTCTCTCTCTCTCTCTCTCTCTCTCTCTCTCTCTCTCTCTCTCTCTCTCTCTCTTTCCCCCATACACACACACACACACTTTCAAGAAACACATTTAGACACATCAAAATAAATAAACAAACGACACATCAGTCAGGTTCATAAACTCGGGCCAATGTCAGAGAGTCCAAAGAGACAGTGCTCTACAGCTGCCAGCTGTTTCCCTGCAAATGAGCCTCACACAGCTGTGAAGCATGGCCGTACCACATTTCACGATGTTAAAGAGATGCGGAAATGAAGAGGATAGCAAGCATGCCCTTAACGTCGTGACAGAAAAGGGCTAAATGTGTTCACTGACTTAGATGGCCAAGAGGAAAATTACTTGCAGAAGAGTGAGTAAATCAAGAGAATAGTGGATGAGGACTCAACTGTTGGGTGTGTGCTGGCATGCATTTCGGGGGGGGGGGCAATATGATATACGCACACAGACAGGAAAGTGGATAGCATGTAGGGACAGGCTGAGGAATGCGTTTAACTGAAAAGGACATGACAACGCAAACAGTGAGAGACATGAGAAAGCACACAGACAGGGACAACAGCACTAGACTGCACTAACTGGAGTCATCAAGGAGCCCAACAGCAGCTGTCTGTGCAGTTCCCCTCACCATACGCAGGAAGGAAGTGCTTTTCAGCCTGTGGGTCACGACCCCTTTGGAGGTCAAATGACCCTTTCACAGGGGTCACACACCACACACATATTCTGCACATCAGATATTTACATTGTGATTCGTAACAGGAGCAAAATTATGGTTATGAAGTAGCAATGAAAATATTTGATGGTTGGGGTCACCACAACCAGAAGGACTGTTTCAAAGGGGCACAGTGTTAGGAGGGTTGAGTTTTCACTGCAGTAAGTTAAAACGAAATGTCCAGAATTAGGGCACTGCAGTGGGGCTGGGCAGTAGGAGAGGAAATCGAGAGTGCAGAGGTAAGGTCAGTAGGATGTAGTGGCCAGGAACAAAGGCTGAAGCCAGCTCCGGGCCACATCCTCTAGTAAAGCAATTCTGACCTCAACAGTTGACGTCACAAGCTCTTTCTCTGGGTTTCCAGCGTGTCTTGCCCTTGCTTCCATAATAATAGGAATCATCATAATAATTATTTGTTGTCTGTCTCAGCATCTGAAAGTAACATCTAATCAATCTTTGTGGTCCCATCTGAGAGAGGTTGCTCATTAATGTTTGGCTAAGTGGATGACTGTGAACGAGGGAACTCTGAATGCATAGTAAAGATGCTCTGAAGGACAGAATGATGATGTAACATGATAGAATGCGCTCATTTGAAAGGAGACTCACCATATAAATGGCATCACCTATGGGCAGTAGCAAGCGTCTGAGTTATGCTTTCCTTTAATTATCAACCACATCTCGAGGTTTTGTATAGAAGCTCAAGATGTTAAAACTGTCTTTAAGAATTAAACTCATAAAATTTTAACATTATAATGATCTCACATTATCTCTCGTACAAAACACATTCCAATTTATTAGTGGGGAAAAATGATTCAGAGCTGTATGCGAGGTGTCTAAAGGGAAAGTCTCCTTAATTTCCACAACAGCACAAGCACGTTTTCCGCCCACTTCTTTTCCTCACAGAGCACTGGTCTAGAAATGCTGATGGTCACTCACAACAGCTGAAGCCTATCTTAATTCTTACTAATAAAAAGCAATTCACCATTATAAAATATGACTGTTCTTCCTTTCCATTTTCCCCAAAGGTTCTAAATTTTCTGAATAGCAGCAAGCGTCAGATTGCACTAGAATTAGTAATGCCTCTGCTGACCTCTCAGTTTGTTTTCTTTTGGATGTATCTAAACATTAAGCACGTTTAAAAAATATTCTGGTCCTAGAAAAACCATAACGGTTATGGAAACAGGAGCAGAGTGTGGCAGACTACTGATGCTGACTTTCTAGAGATTGAGGCAGGAGGAAAATGAGAGCCAGTCTGGGCTGCATGGTCACATTCTGTCTGAACTAAATAAATAAAGCGTTAATAAAAGAATTTGAACCAGTAAATGAAACTGAAATTCTTGCTGTATCACTTCTTAGCTCTATGAATTTCAACAACTTGCTTCACATTGGCCAGGCTCAATCTTCGTCAACTGAGCAGCTGACTCCAGATGCCGTGAGTCTTAAGTGAGCTCTGCAGGGCGCGCCCTACAGATGTGAGGCATTTGTGTAAGTGAGGACCTGAAGCCAGGAGGACAGACTGAAGTGAACACTCTGGGTTCTAGTCCCAGGTCTGTCGCTAACCAGCTCATGGTGGAAAATGACAACTGAGCTCTGGCCTCAGCTTCCTTGTGTGACAAGTTCTCAGGGCACATGTCCTTACCGCTGTCATGTGACGGTTCAGAAAACATTTGCTCAAATAAGCCCGAGTTGCCACTGCTTCATGAGGAAACTTGGTTATTTTTTCACCATCATATTGGATGACATAAAAATATTTCCACTTTTAAAGCTTTCACAGATGGGAAGGTTTTACCTGTAGTAGCATTTTCCGATCTGTACTTTCCACCACCAGTCCTTGTACTGAGAATGCTCTGTGGAAAGGGATGCCAAGTCCAAAGCCTTTGAAAACAATTCATTTCCAATTATAAAATGCTCTTCTAATAGCAAGCAGGCAGGAGGATAAATAATTAAATAAACCATATAATTAGTATCAATCAAAACATGTATTAGAAATCAGATAGAAATTCCAGTTGCCCAAGTTTCCAGATGGCCCCACAAATTCCCCCTAAAATCAGTTCCAGGCTGGAGGGCTGGCAGCACAGAAATTGGAGACATTGGTCGAAGGGAAGCAGATGTACAATAAATCAGAATATAATTTTAATATACAAGGCACAAAATTGAATTTAAAACACTAGGATTTTACTCTTCCCACTTTGTAGCTACTCTCTAAAGATTCAAAACGCCTCAAAACTCAGTGATGGCAAGCTTTCTGTATGTAAGGTGGGTCCAGCGGCAGTCCCCACTTCAAACAGCTATAAAGAGAAGGATGAACTAAGTAGACAGAAGAGGGGTTTGGAAGAGTGGGAGCCATTGCTCAGGAACAGGGTATTTGCCTCATCTGCATGACCAACTCTGGGGTTAATCATAATCACTAGCTACAGCAGAGGAAGAGTGAGGCACCGGTATGCTATGGGGCCTGGGGCCAGGGCTTCAGCAGGCAAAGTGCTTGCTGTGCAGGCATGAGACATGAGCTCAGGTTCCAGTCCCCAGGAAAAGCTGGGTGTGGTACCAGGTACCTGTAACCTCCATGTTAAGGAACATACATGACTTCAGAACAAGAAAGAAAGGGGCTTTTGGAGCGTGGGATGGCACAGAAGAGGCTAAGAAGTCAGTACTTGGGTTCCTGCTGCCTTCAATGATCAGAACTCAAGGCTCTGATGTCACTTTACCTTCTAGTAATCGACGTTTTCCTCCATATTTAACTGCTTATCTGACACATTTTTAAAAGGATTTCTGTGTGTGCGTGCAAGTGTGTCTGAGTGCAAGTGCCTGCAGAGACCAGAGACACCAGATCCCAAGGACTTGGAGTTACAGGTGCTTGTGCACTTCCAGATGTGGGTGCTGGAAACAGGAACTAAACTCTGGTCCTTGACAAGAGCATATATCCTTAGCCACAATCACCTTTCTGCCACAATCCCATATCTTCTGGAGCTTTTTCCTTCCAGTGTTTTTACATGGTCAGACCAGACACAACCAATTAAGAATTGGGATTTTTAGAGAGAGGAAGTGGAAAACCTTTTGACAGAGGAGAAAGGGAAGCTGGGCGGTGGTGGCGCAAGCCTTTAATCATCCCAGCACTCGGGAGGCAGAGGCAGGCGGATCTCTGTGAGTTCGAGGCCAGCCTGGTCTACAAAAGCTAGTTCCAGGACAGGAACCAAAAAGCTATGGAGAAACCCTGTCTCGGAAAAAAAAAAAAAAAAAANAAAAAAAAAAAAAAAAAGAAAAAGAAAAGAACAGAACAGAAAAGAAAAAAAAGAAAAAAAAAGAAAAGAAAAGGAGTAAGTTTTAACACAAATTTGAAGTTCACGGAAATCTAAAAGTTCTATAAAGATTCACTGAGTAGAACTGGAATTATCAGTTAAATGAGAATTCTGAGTTTTAATACTTATTTGTCTTCCCAATAGAGAGACTGCTTTATTCTGGAGTCAGTGTTAATATAATCATGAGAGCCAACAGTTCCATTAAAGGAACACTTGGATGTTTCAGTTCTATTATCTCAAAGTGCATCCCCTATTACTGTCCTCTTTAATATTAGCTCTCTTCTGAAATTAATGCCAGAAAAGTCCCCTCAACCTACTATTGCAAAATTAATTACTTTTCCATGTGTTCTCTATCTCACTTGCTCCAGGGGAGACCTCTGAATATGCAAACTACTTATCCAGGAATGGTGTCACCATGCTGAGCCTCTAATGGACCTAAAAAATCAACATCTTTACTTGAATGCTATGGAAATGAAAAACAAGCCACATATGATTATACTTTCATGTGCTTATTTTTCTTTTTCCCCTCTAGCCAGAAATAAAAGTGGAGACAAAAAAAAATAAGCGAGAAGTGTGACTTCAAGTGGCATTATCTCTGGAAACACTGGGGAACCTGTGTTTTCAGAGGGCTACATTCAGACATGCAGTCCTCATATCTTTGCGCATTATCTCTGACTCAATCTTTATTAAGACCATTTCTAGCAAGCAGATCACATTCACTGTCATGTTTAATATAAACAGACCAAACCTTCTACTTTTTTTTTTAAATCTTCCATTTGAATGCTTATATACCCTGACTTCCTAAGGCTAGATTCAGTGTTTATGATTGGTGGCCGAGTTTGCCTTCAGATACAGTCCTGAATCAAATCTTCCCATGAAGGAACCAGATGTTCCCATTAATCCAATTAAGGAAAATATAAATTGCTGAGACAATAAAAATGGCAGGAAAAAGTTACATTTTAGCAATTCTTATTAATTACATGAGAACTTGGGCTGAATTAGACAAGAATTCTTGTAATGACTTCTGAAGGCCCCTAGCTCCCCGAGGGGAGACCCTTTTGTGGGAGTTTGAATGAGACTGTTCCTATAGGTTCCTATACTTGAACATTTGGTCCACAGTTGGTGGCACTGTTTGAGGAGGTTTAGAAGGTGTGGCCTTGTTGGATGTCACTAGAGGCCAGCTGTGAGAGTCATTTCCAGTTGTTCTCTCTGCTTTGTGCTTGCAGTTCAAGAAGTGAGCTCTCGGCATCGTATCCAACTAACATGCCTGCCTACGACCTCCAGTCAGCACTATGGACTCTGACCCTCTGGAACCCTAAACCGACATAATCTCTTCCTTCTCTATGGACTCTGACCCTCTGGAACCCTAAGCCGACATAATCTCTTCCTTCTCTACGTGCCTTGGTCATGGTGTTTTGTCACAACAACAAATTTGAAGATAATGCATATGAAAGCAGCTCTGATTCCATTAGCATGCTAAAAAAATCCTTATTTTTTTCTTTTTACAGCTGACGTTAAAAATATATAAAAGGCTAAAAAATGTCCGGTTTGTGCTCATTATCTAAATCCTTTTTGGGAAATAACATTTGTGATAAAATCTAAAATGACATTTTAACGGAAGAGTCTGGTCCAAGGAGCACCGTGAGCAAGGCTGTGCGTGCGAGCGTGCGAGCTGGTGAGGGCGGGAAGAAGGCACAGGCATATGTCCCCAGCTCCTCCAGTCCGTCACAGCAGCAAGGCAAGGGCTGCAGCAACTATTTGCTTAAGGAATAAGCCTGTCATCTCACAAGTGCAAACAGGAAAGGAAAGTTTGCAGTTTTCACTAAGTAAAAACAAAAAGAGCTACCTCCCTGAGTGTTCCACACTGGAGTGACTAGCACATGAAAAAAATACGGGGGGTCACTTATGAGCATGTAAATGTATTGAAGTACTTAATCTACAATAGCAAAAATTGCTATTAATTCAGGAAACAGACAAAAAGTTTGAAAAACGAATATAAAATGAGACTTCATCTCCACTAGTGCTATGAGGCCAACCTGCTTGGTTGATGCATTGTGAGTATTCAACAAGCACACATGGAATGAAGATCTTAAACCTATTCTCAAGAAATAATCCAAGTATCTGTCTTCAGTATATGTGTACCTGTATTTAGTTATAATTCTGTTTAGCATCCTGAATGGATACTTTTTGACTTAACGATAGAAAATAAATATTTGCAATTTTTATAATTTTGGTAACTATTATTTTACTGGCTGCATGAAAGTCCATTCGTCTGCTCATTATATCATATTTATCTTCCAGCACTGAGCATTTATGTTGCTTTCCAAGCATTTTTTCTACCATATCTAACACTATAGTGATCATTGCAAATAAAGCTATTTTTCCTAACAATTGTTGAGAACTGGAAGTACAGCATTATCTAAAATTTGTAATAATTTATGACACTGTCCCTCAACATTTTAAAGTCCTTTGTTTTATATTCCTTGTCAGCAAGAAAATACCTGCTTCCTGCTAGTTCCCCCAATGATGTCTCACTGGGTCATGTCTATGCCCATAGGAAGCTCTCTAAGGGCTGGGGAACTGACTTTGTGGGTAAATCTCATTCTGATCAAACATGAGGACCAGGCGTTTGGATCCCTAGAACCCACAGAAAAGTTGATTGTGTGTGGTGAGCTGCCTATAATCCCAGATCACAAGGCGGCGGCGAGGATAGTGGGGGGCAAAGTCTAGTATGCTAGACTAGCTGGAACGGCAAGGTCCTGGTTTAGTGTGAGACTCTGCCTCCACATATACAGTACACTATGATCAAGGAAGATACTTAACATCAACTGTGGGCCTCCATGTGTATGCAAGCACACACACAATGATACATGCGTGTCCACACACATATGAACGCATATGCATACCGCATATATGCCAGAAAAGGCGTTCTAAAATATTCAGATTATCTTTTTTATATATGACAAACAGCATTTAAAATCACCCTGCAGGTACATTTTTGCCTGCTCACCACTATATAGAAATTACATATAAGAACCAGTCAGTCTCTTACCATTGTGATTGCTTCACAAATATAACCCAAGAAGCAGTTTAACTGTTGAATTCTGTATGCTTGTGTGTGTGTGTACACATGTGCACGTGTCCGTGCTTGTGCAAGGCAAAGGTCTACCTTGAGTGTCATCCCGTCAGAGCCAGCTTCTTTTTCTCTGACTCAGGGTCTCTAGGCTGGCTCATCAATTAGTTTAGGCTGGCCAGCAAGTCCCCAGGAAAGTGCCATCTCCGTCTCCGCTGCCCCAGCACTGAGATTATAGGCACATGCCACCCTGTGAGCTCTGGGGATGAAACTCAGGTCCTCAGGCTTAGGAGGCAAGCACTTTACTGAGCCATCCCCCAGCCCTAGTTTAAAGTAGTTTAAATTTTAGTAACTCGTTAACCCAATGCACAGAAGAATGTCCCCAAACAAGCTCCCCCAGTTCATCTAGTGATTCAAAGAGATCTACCACAAAGAGTTTTACATTCTGCTCAGCACCGCTTGTTTCGAATATATTAAGTCTTTCATTATTCATGAACATAATCTTACAAAATTTATAAAAGGAGACTCTGGCTCCCAATAAGATTTGGCATCATTTTCTTGTTCCTGGGATATATTTAAGGGTCATTTTGTGATGCTTTCTTTCTACTAATTTGCTAATTTCTTTTGATGAACTTCCTTCCCTGGTGAGGTTGTTATATGGAATTTAAGCTTTCAAATGCTCAACTCTATTTCTCACATTTGAATACATGTTTCCTAGTGTTTCTGAAATTCCAACATACATCCTAGAGCAGTGATGTGGGAGTGTCATATCAATCTGTTGATTTCATTGGCTGAGCAATAAAGAAACTGCTTGGCCCTGATAGGTTAAAGCATTGGTGGGAGGAGTAAACAGAATAGGATGCTGGGCGGAAGAGGAAGTGAGGTCAGACTCTGCTCTGCTCCCGGAGAGACCCAACAGCTCTGCTCTCTGGAGCAGAGACACCAGGATGGATGGAGGCTAGACTCTTCCCAGTAAGCGCACCTTGGGGTGCTTACACACATCATTAGAAATGGGCTAGTCCAGGTGCGAGAATTAGCCTGTAAGGGTTAGAGTTCATGGGCCAAGCAGTTCTTAAATGAATACAGTTTGTGTGTTGTTATTTCGGGCATAAGCTAGCCAAGCGGCCGGGGTGTTGGGGACGCAGCCCCGCCGCAGCTCCTTATTTCAACAGAGCAGTAGTTCCCAGTCATCATGAACACTAGCATTGCCTGTGGAGTTCTTAACAGCAGAGTCACCACCTCCCCTGGGGATTCTCATCTTGGAAGTGTAGCATAGACCCACACACCATTGCTACTAAGTTACACAGGTAATTAAGAAAAAGAAGCCATTTTTGTATTTCTATTTCTAGGTCAATGAGAATATCATTTGCAGATATAAATATAAAGAGCAAAGACTTGGGTCGGCCGGCCTCCCTCTCTGTCCTTGATCTCAGGACTGAAATGGCGGCTGGCATGCTGTGTCATTCAGAACGACATTGGATAAAAGAGCAGATATTCCCTCAGTAAATGAATTATTCTTCAAAAACCCAAGAGTATAAAGTCAGATGTGATGGTGCACACCTGTAATCCGAGCACTTGGTGGTCAGAGGCAGGAATGAGAGTCTGAGGTCAGTGTGGGCTACATAGTGAGATCCTGTTTCAGAAAACAAAAGAGAAAAAAAACCTTCTAAAAACAGATTTGTGACAATTTAATAATTAGAGATTTGCCCATTTGTGAAATGGATTGGATTTGGGTAGTATAACATATCATTCCACTAAAAGGCTCTATGAGCTGTATAGCAAGTGAAACCACTGGGTTCTGTTTACAGAAACGCACATGGTTTCTTGGTGCGCTAACTTTAGACTCCGCTGCTCCGTATGTGACCATACACTTGACTTCTTCATCACAGGTTAGTCCCACATTCTCTGTATCTGGCCTAGGCTCTTATATGTATACCTGTACCCTACTCCTTAGGGCATGCAATTGTTATCTCCACACAGAGATACAAATTCCCAGAGTCACATCAAACATAAAACTCTTTGAGTCAATTACGCAGCTTCATTATAAACTGGTGAGTCAATCCCAGGTCTGACAGTAAAGCTATCAATCACCCTCACAGCACCCTAGGTGGCAGCTCTGACTGGTGTCCCTTCCCTTGATGTCCTCAACATGAAGCCCATCATCAAGTTCAGTCATTTCTTTATACTGTCTCTTCGGTGCCCTCGTTTTTGAAGGTAAGTCTTATTCAGCGATTGTTCCGGTCTCTTTCGTGATTTCCCATTTCTTTACAGTTCTTTTGCCACATTTCCTGGAAACCCTGCTCACTCGGTGGATATTTGCCAGCATCCATCACTGCCTGTCTTCCCTTGGCTCTCCTCAGTCTAGCAATCAACTCTCGTTTGTTTGTTTTCACACAGGTCTTACTCTGCAGCTCCGACTACTCTTAACTCATGATTCTCTGGACGAGGCCTCTTGAGTGCTGTGACCGCAGGTGTACACCTCCACTCCCAGGGCCAGTTTACGTCAATTTTAGTTTCTACGTTAGCACGGACAGCTCTCAGAAGCAGGTGTGGTATCATATGTTCATTAGCTTGCCCTATACACTGAATTGTGGCTGACACATAGGAAACATAACTGAGGAAAGTATTTTCCTGAACACTCAACATGTGAACATAGTGGTTTTTCCTGGACTCATAAGAAATTGGGGAAATTGTTATCCGATATTATAGAATTGACTTCATTTGACTTAAACAACTTCGTGAGACTTTTCCTCATTTACATATTGGCTTATGTAAATTGAGGAAAATTTGGAAAATCAGATGCATATAACCTCAAAATTCATTAGTGAGAAGCTAACATGAAAAGTGACTCTAGCTAAAGCTAAATAGGAGTAACGTGGGCTCTTTGTGTTATTATTTCTGCTTTTGTGTGTTTGAAATCTTCATGGGAGAGGAGGCAGAAGACAGCAGAAATGCATGCTAGTAAACTTCTAATACTCTGTGGTCTACAAAAACAATGGACCAGTGGTACTATTAGCATAAAGAAAACATTTTCAGTTATCTTGCCCTTTAACGACAGCTACATAATCTATGAACCAGGAATAAGTCTTATCATGTCTATATTTATACAAATGTCCTCACTGAAACTGAAACTTTCAGTTCTTCACATTTTTAATGATTTCCCCTTTTTAAGGAAATAAATAGAATATTTCAAAATCTAAAGCTCGAAAGCCTGAAAAATTCCTAGGAAAGAAAATAACAGGAATTCATCACTTACCATCTTAATATCATTTTCATGGTGAAAAATATATTCAAATAAAGCCTGGAAAAGACAAAATGTCAAATATACTCAGTTTTATTTTAATAAAACACTTGTTATTGTTACACAAAAACTCAAAACTTAGTTGACTCAAAGTGCAGGATACTCTAAAGTGCTAAAAATTGGTAAGTAATAAAAGTGACTGCCATTTGTCATAATAATCCATTTTGAAATTCTGCAACTCACAATAAATTTTGTTTTTAATACTGAGAGGCCTAGTTAACTACTAATTAAGCACATATATATATATATATTTCATCCCTTTGAACATCCTTAAATCATACAAGAGTTGAACATTATTTTTCTGAGAACAGTCCAAGCTGAAAAACAAACACATCCAGACAACCTCAAGCTTCGGTCTGCAAAGGTGACTCTGCCTCTCTGCTTTCTTTGTTGCAAATTATTGTTGTTAACCAGGGCAAGGGACTTTCCTATAATAATTACATATGTACTTATTTCTGATCAATTGTACCTAATTCAAGACAAAGAGAATTTTTGCATGTTACACTAACTAAATTCTCCATTTCCTACAAAACCATGTCATCATACGTCTATCATTACTGCATAACTTAGAAGCTTTGGAAGCACATACCTTTGCCAACTTAGGTTTCTGGGAATATTTTGTTAAATTCAGTCTAGATAAATTTATAAATGGTCCATCAGGACTTGTAAGCATGGAAGCCTGTGAGAGTAAAAGACAAGAAGAAGAAATTGAAAACTTTCTCTTCAAACATAGTTTCTTCTGCATAAATATTATAGTAAATTATAGAAATTATAGAACAACAAGAATTACCTGAATTCTGTTTAATTTCTGAATTTCTGTTTAATTCTCCACTGTAATACTAGTGGAACATAAAGTTACTTGAGTAATACAAGGTCCTGGGAGAGCTGACAGAACCTACCGTCCCTAGTCTGACGAACCTTCCAGATGAACTAGTGATAGGTCGTGCTGTGTAGGCAGTTCTGGGTGTTCTTATGGCCTGCTCCATTGTACCGGGCCTTCCACTCTGCGTGCTAGGCCTAAGGAAACCCGTAATGGGTCTTCCAGCTTGAGTGATTGGCCTGTGGAGATTGACAGCTGTTATAACACAAACAAGATCAATTAAGGAAAGTCTGGTCAGGATTTAGAGACGGAGGGATGAACTAAAATACAGACCTGATAGCTTGACTCGGTCCTCCTGCCTGGTTAGTTCCAGGGAGCTTCAAAGATGTGCCAGGGCCTACAAGATAGGATGGTTATCAACTTATCAATTACTTATGAATTTTTAGATCCACTTAGCAACTTAATTTTCAGACTTATCCTGGCCTGGGAAGAAGAGGGTATGGCAGGAAATGCTTTGAGGAAAGGAGTTTGAGGCTCATCATCAGGGCACATGTACCACTCTGGTCGGCGGCAAGAACCTGGTAGAGTGGGGCCTAAAACCGAGGCAGACTAAAGTCTCAAGCAATAGCCAGCTTTATTCAGAGCATCACACAGTGTACACTCTGAGGTTAAGACAAATCACATGAGTGAGATGTTCAACCACAAGGACAATCCCCATGTGGCAAAAACATGTTTTTTCACAGAGGGATATGAACAATGGCAGCTGAAGTAGACTCATTCCTATCCGCTACACATGGGAGCAACATGAAAACCCATTCCAAGAACAATTCTGTGTTTTGAAGAAACTGGGGTCATAAGACTTGTTTTCTTGGAGTTTTCTCACAAGCACTCAGAATTCTAACATGACTCCATTCTCGAACTATGTTCTGACAGCTGAGCCCATGTCACTGATTTGTGCTATCATTCGGTCTGTAAGGTAGGCTTAGTACTAACCCAGTTAACAGAGGCTCAAGGAATTAAGCTAACAGGTCACCCCATTAGCAGAGTTTAAGTCAATGCCTCTGGACTCAAAGGTTAATTATTTTTCACACAAATGTCTACAAATAAAAGATTGTGTCCAGAATTTACATGTGTTAGCAAGTCAATGAGGAAAAGAAGATCTTAAAAACCAATAAATTACCAACAAACCAACATATATTATGATGTTCCTCCAATACCATTTATTTATATTATGACCCTGACTTGGACCCCAAGGCAATCCCATTATATATGTGTTTATATAAAATTCAGAATACACACATGTTCCTCTTCTATACCATATCCTTCCTTTAACTCAACTCACTAAGTACTTACGTGGGACTTGGGCAATGGCATTTTCATCCAGAATCATCTCTGCAATCCCTTCATGATCCACATCAATTTCATCTATGTACACCATTTCAGTCAGCGCTCGTGCTTTCAAAATCCAAGCTGCCTAAAAAGCATTGAAAAAAACATTCGGTAAAATAACATAGTGCTTGAACTAGCCTTTTGGATACCTTGTTCAGCCTAGATATAGTGAAGAGGACCTTGGTTCTGTCTCAAAGGGATGTGCTAGACTTCGTTGACTCCATATAGAAAGCTTTACCCTCTCTGAGGAGTGGGTGGGAGGAAGATGGGGGGAGCGGGAGGAGGAAAGGGAGTGGGAACTGGGATTGACTGATATGTAAAATGAGAAGATTGTTTTAAAATAAATTTAAAATTTTAGATAAAAAGTTAGAAATCTCACACAGCTTTGGTAAGAAGCTAGGTGTGTTTTGTTAATGTACTCTGCACTCTACTTCAGGACTATAACATCCAGAAAGTCCTTCTCAGTTTCCAACCCCCAGGCATCCTCTTGTCTTTCTTACAGTTTTCCCTTTAGGTTTCTGGTCTTCTACACATACCATATTTGACAAGTAGTATGATTATCTGAGCATGTGTTAGTCCCTGTTCCCCAGAATACAAGCATTTCAACCTTGTCTACTCTTGCATTTTCTAGACTTTTAGGTTTTTATACATAATTGGGTATTCAGGAAATGTTGCTTGATTCGAGCTAAGATCAATTTCTCTGGATTCCAAATCACTGCTTTGTGATCTAGTAGGGAGAACTGGCTGACGAGAACGGAGGATGGAAAAGTAATTAAAGCTCTAGGCTGAAAGCATCATCAGCTTAGTCGGAGCCTGAGAAGGGCATCATGAAGATGTACATACTTAACTTTCTTGCCAAACACATGAAATTGCTTTACTGAAAAACTTGACCTTTCTGCCTTTTTTTTTCCAGAATAAAAGCCAAGGACGATGATGCTCAGTGTCCTTTGCACCATCTGAGAGGAACGCGAGTCTGGAAGTGGTGGCATAGACCTGATTCTACAGTCTACAGGAAAAATAGCAGAAATCTGGGGAGGGACTGGAGTTCACTATACCAGGAGTCTGGCTGTGAGGGGAACAATGAGGCTGCAGGACGTCTGCAAAGTCCCCACATATACAGAACTTTGCCCACTTGGTCTTTTTATTAAAGCCCTCTTAGATTATACACCCACTATCAGGCTGAGTGGGAAACAAGTTCACAACATGGATCCTACCATTCCTGAACACACCATCATCCAGTGGATTAAACAGCAAAACATACAGCAGTATGTGATTAGGTGACAAGTGTGTGGTAGAAGAAAATGGGTTTTATAGGAAATGGTTGAAAGAAAGGAAGAAAGAACAGCCGAGATTGTAGTGTACGCTTGTAATCCCAGCACTCAGAAGTTCCTCCTTGACTGCACAGCAAGTTCAAGGTCAAACTGTAATACATAAGTCTGTCTCAAAATAATGATGATTATAATAATAATGATGAAGGCTTCGGCTCTGAGGTCAGGCAAACCTGCTCACAGCGTGTTTAGAAACACCCAGTAGCTGTGATTGTTGGAATGCTGGTGAAACCGTCTGGACTGAGAGACCAGCCAGAGAGCATGTGTGTCACGGTGAGGTTAGGGGTTTTTATTCTAATAATGAGGAGCCAATGAAGCTTCTGGAACATGACTTGGAGTCCAACTTAAATCCTTCTCAACCAATCTGCCCTCCTCTCTCACCTAACCCCCAACCTCTTTCTCTGACAGGGTCTCACAATATAAGCAGGATGTCCTCGAACTCTAGACCCCCTGGTTTAACCTGGATGCTGGAATTATAGGCATGTACCACCATACTCATATTACATCAAGTTTTTAAAAGTCAAATTTTTATAATTTTAGGCATCATTTACATAATCAGTTATTAAACATCCATGAACATATTTTAACTAGCTTTGAGTTGTTAGCACTATTTCATAGTCCAATCTGTTATGCTTGATATCTAGCTCCCTATTAATCTCTTAAATGTTAAGATGATGTAAATTTTCTTTGCTGAGATAATCAAAGCAAGGGAAGTGAATCCATGATCCTCCCCGCCCTGAATAAATAGATAACTACATCAGAAGTCCAGTAGGAACATCTATTTTTCACTCTCTATGCTTTTTAATACTTAAGTCTTAAGAAATGGAAGCAATGATATGAAAATTTGATATTAAAAGATCTGTAGAGACTGGGAGACTGCTCAGTGGGTAAAATGCATGCTGTGCAAGCATGAGAGAGGACTGGTGTTCAGGTCCTCAGCACGCATGTAATGCACATCTGCAATCTCTGCACTGGATGGTGGAGCTAAGAGGGAGAGACAGGAAAGAACTAGAAGTTCTTAGGAAGCTAGCCTGTTATAAGCAGTGGCAAACAAGAGACCCTGTTTTAAACAAATGGTCCTCTGATATCCACACATGTGCTGTGGCACTCACATGCTCACACATACACATATACACACATCACACACACACACACACACATAGATACCTCATACATACACACATACACATCATGCATTCATTTACATATATACACATATCATACACATACATACACACACACAAAAAAAACCCCGATCTTTTAGAGATCTGAAATAAAACATACATTGCTGCTTAGTTTTTGTGAACTTGATACAAACTAAGATGAAGGAACATCAGCTGAAAACTTCTCCCATCAAACTGGCCTGGAGGCAAGTCAGGGAGGCATTTTCTTGTGTGATGATTGATGTGGGAAGGTTCAAAGCACTGTGGGTGGGTGCCACCCTTGGGCAGTGGTCCTGGGCTGTATAAGAAAGCAGGCTGAGCAGGCCTTTGAGAGAAAGTCGGAAAGCAGCACTCCCCCAAGGCCTCTGCATCTGTTCCCACCTTGGCTTCCCCCTCAAAGACAGACTGGGACATGCCATAGTAAATCTTTCTCCCCAAGTTGCTTTTGTCTTTGGTATTTATCACAGCAATAGGGCTCTAACTAGGAAGTTGGAACCAGGAACATGGGGGGCTGCGGTGATGGATCTGACCAAGTGGATTTTATGCCTTGGATAGTCTTCTGAGTAGGATTGTGAAAGCTTTTGGAACTCTGGGTCGGAAAAACCACTGAGTTCTCAGCAGTTAATGGGCTATTCTGCAGGAGGCTGGAAGATAATGCTGACGGAAACACAGATAATGAAGGCCTGGCTCATGAAATTTTAGAGAGAAGTTTGAGAGTCAGTTCAAATACTCAATTGGGCTGCTTGTGTGATGCATTTGGATTTAAAAAAAAATCTATGGAACTAAAAAATTAGTTTTATTGGGATTATCTGGGGCTGAAAAATCAGTTGCGATTAATAAGAGAAGAGCATCTCTGAGGTGAACTCTTCTGGGAAATACTTCCTCAGGGTCAGACACAGAAGCTGTGGTCCACGGAGGGCAAGGGTTGCAGCTTAAGCTGACAGCCACGCTTGGCAATGTGTAGGAGTCTCACACATGGTACACGCTTTAAAAGCATAAGGGAGTCATGGAGAGTATCTGAGGGCTGCTACTGTGTGGCAGGGTTGGAGTCTCCCTGAACAAAGTCAGTAGGGGCCACTGGTGAAGGCGCAGCCTCAATTGCAGTGAAAACCCCGGTATGTTGGAGACGTCAAGATCAATGACAAGAGTCAGCCTACGCCCAAGACCATCGGAGTTCAGATCATGAGTGAATCCTAGGCGGTGAACAATAAGTAATTTACACTGTACGAGTTTGGTTTCACTTTAATCTTACTGTTACTGTGTCCTGATTCCTCCCTCATAGAATAAAAAGTAGTTTAAGATGAAATAAACCCTTTCCTCCCCACATTGCATTTGGTCATAGTGGTTACCACAGCAACAGAAACCAAACTAGAACACATACTTAAACCATTATTCAATTTAAAATTTCATCAGTCTTTCAGAAAAATTAATCTTCCTGATTTTTCTTCTGTCCTAACAAAAAATGACCTTGAAAATCACATGTTACTGCTGGATTACACATCAAAGTACTTAGAGAGAAAAAAAAACCACTACTCCTGGCAATGTGAGCAATTCTTGAGATTTTAATGAAAACAGCAGATGGGGCTTTGACTCAAAAAAATTCTTTTTTGGAAATAAGCCAAATATGTTTTACAGTTCTAAAGTCCTCTGTATACTAAAATAAAAGAAACATGATCAAATATACACAGGAATCTCTAATTTTCCCTTAAATCTGAAAAAAAACTACAAGTTTGTTTTATATGTTATGTTCAACTGAATAACTGCAGTCATCCAGCTTAAAAACCAACCAGGCATTTATGCAAGTGACTATATTTATATTACAAGGTCTATAGAATCAATAATGCTAAAAAGATACTTAGGACATTTTATAAAGAAGAACAGTTTTTCCCAACCTAAATGAGTAGTCACCATGCTAATTTACTTGCCTGAACATCTCTTTTGCAGTTCCTATCAATTCTTTGATAATTCTACACAATGCATTATCAATTCTTTGATCATCCCACACACTGCATTTTGATCGTATTCACTTTCTTGACCAACTCATCCCAGGCCCCACAACCTTCCCAACTTGATGGCCTCTTCTTTTTTTCTTTTCCTTTCTTAAAACCCATCAACGCTTTTCTGTGCTGGATGGGGGCCCTCCACTGAGCACAGTCAACCTGGCAGGGGTCACCCAAGTTACTCACCCCTGAGATGTCTAAAGCATACCCTTGAGGTACAGACCTGCCAGCTTAAGGTTAATCCAATTTCACTTATGAAATAAAAACTCAATTAGCTGAGAAAAATACGCTTTAATTATTCTGTTCCTTTTGATAAGTAATTCAAGGCCAACAGGTTAAGGCATGTGAGAAATAATTTTTGATTATTAGGACAAATCAACCAAGAAAATAATCATTCTGATATGATCTGAACATCATAAAAAAACTGGTAGAGAGTCAGGCAGTGATGGAGCACACCTTTAATCCCAGCACTTGGGATGCAGAGGCAGGCAGATCTCTGAATTCACGGCCTGTCTGGTCTACAAAGCAAGTTACAGGATAGACAGAGCTGTTATACAGAGAAACCCTGTCTCAAAACAAAAACTAAAACTAAAA